AAAGAAAATATATTTTTTTTCTTTTTCACATCCTTTTGATTGATTATGCTTTTTTAATCAATGGAATACTTTTCTTTTATAGTGTAATTTAGTGATATCATAGTAAATGACAAAAAATCCAGTGAGACCTGGCTAGTACACATTTCTCATTTTTATGTCATCTGGTTTTTTTTTCAGATGCTTGTGGTTGGTGGAATAGACCGGGTGTACGAGATTGGCCGCCAGTTCAGGAATGAAGGCATTGACCTCACTCATAATCCAGAGTTCACTACCTGCGAGTTCTATATGGCATATGCCGATTACCACGACTTGATGGAAATAACTGAGAAGCTTCTATCAGGTGAGCATACACACACACACACACACACACACGGTTTGTCACAACAAACCCTTTTTGTAATGACTTGTTACTTCAGGCAATGATTTTCTTTTTGGTGCTGCTGTTGCCTTTCATTTGCTTGATTTCAGGTGTTTGTGTTTTGGTGTTGTGTGATGGGGAAATCTTTTCTGCACTGGAGATGACACAGACGAGTGCAGTTGCATTATTTCAATAAATCACAGACTGGCTTAAAAATGAATGTATGGCCACTAGAGAGTAGCAGACAACAGAGGGGGGAGAAACAGAGACATACAACACTATGAACACAATAGAGCAATATAACAAAACTGAATTGTCATCAGAGATTAAAGAAGATCAAATGACATTCTCTCATTGGACACTAAAGAAACATTTGCAGTGTGTATACAGTCAGAACAGCTCCCTCAACCATGGTGGATCTCTCTGTTACAGGAATGGTTAAACACATCACTGGAGAATATAAGGTGACCTATCACCCCGATGGTCCGGAAGGTCAGGCCTATGAGATTGACTTCACCCCACCTTTCAGAAGAGTGAGCATGACACACGACCTGGAGAAGATAATGGGAGTCAAATTCCCTCCAACAGACAGCTACGACACTGATGGTAAGAATTGGTGACAAATGCATTGGTTGGCTCTGTAAAGAAGAGATATCTTCATTGACCTGTTTATTATTCACCAATATTTTTCCCTATTAGAGACACGCATGTTCTTTGACCAGCTGTGTGCACAGAGAGGAGTGGAGTGTCCTCCACCCAGAACCACCGCTCGCCTCCTTGACAAGGTGGGCTCCTGGTGAACACTAAAGCCACATATTTATTTCTCTGTGAGACTGTTCTAATGACTGTTTCCTCTCAGTTGGTTGGAGATTTCCTAGAGGTCACTTGTATCAACCCTACATTCATATGTGATCACCCTCAAATTATGAGTCCCTTAGCAAAATGGTGAGAGAACTTAAATTTCAAATCACTCTAAAGTTTAAAACAAATAATGCAGGGCTGTGTGATGGTGACAAAATGTTCTTGGTTCTTCCAGGCACCGGTCTGAGAAAGGCCTGACGGAGCGCTTTGAGCTCTTTGTGATGAAGAAGGAAATCTGCAATTCATACACAGAGCTGAACGATCCAGTCAGACAGAGGGAGCTTTTTGAGCAGCAGGCTCAGGTGAATGGAGTCCAAAGTCTTTTCTACATAGTTCCACTGTTCTATTATCTCACCGTAGGCTCTGTCAGTGCATGTTAATGATTAGACATTCAATCTCTCATCAGGCCAAAGCAGAGGGTGATGATGAAGCCATGTTCATCGATGAAACCTTCTGCACTGCTCTGGAGTACGGTCTGCCCCCTACTGCTGGCTGGGGAATGGGCATCGACCGTCTCACCATGTTTTTAACTGACTCCAACAACATCAAGGTACAAATTGTCACACAGGGGCATTTCACCTGTGATGGGGCTATTAGAAAATGATCATCACTGCCAATGTCACAGCCCACTCAAAACAAAGACAGTTAAAGTGGGATGAAATCAAGAACTTATTAGAAATTATTATCAGAACAAGCAGGTCCCAATGCAACGACCAAAACCAGAAGAGCTAGTCAAAGTCTGTGACCTTGGGCCTGGGAATGTCAAGCTCTGCTAATAAGGAATGAGGAAAAAAAAAGCAATACTAAAACAACAGCACCACACTGTGGTCGCTCCTGCAGCACCCTTGGTGTGTAGGTGTGCTCTCTTTATCGTGTTCTAGATCTTGAGTGTGTGGTCAATAAAGTTTATTTCTAATCTAAAAGATAGAAGGTTGAGGCTAATATTGGAGTCACATGCTGCCATGCTCTTGTACCTTTAACAGGACAATAGTCAGAACAAACACTTATTTTACCCATAAACTTAAACTTAAATGACTCAACTCACACAGTTGTAGTTTATACAAAGTACTTTTCACAGCAAAGGTACTTTGTTTAGGTTAAAGAAAATTCTCTTAAAAGGTCTTTGTGACTTTATACCTATAAAATGTACCAGTAGTGAGATGTTTTTTATGATGTTTCACCATTATATGACCACTTTTCTTGTGTGGAAATTAACTTTTAACATTTAGACAACAACAGCAATTGTATTAACTCACTTTCCTGAATACTCAGTAAACAATTGTTCATTATGTTTAAATTGTATTTATAAAGTCAACAATAAACAAATCAACTGTTCTTTGTTTTTTATATTAATAGGAAGTTCTGCTGTTCCCTGCTATGAAGCCTGATGACAACAAATCAGCTGCACCAACAGAGGGAGCCCCTGATGTCTGATCACATGACTAATGATCTCTGGCTAACAGACATGTGCAGTAGTTAGTATCAAGAGGAAACAGTTCATTCATTTGTTTTCGTTTTTTTCTTACTCTTAGTCTGTCAAAGGTGGTTTCAGGTTTGGTTTTTTGTTTTTGTTTTTCTTATACTTCAGCTCCGTCCTTTTTGGACAAATTGTAATGCTCACCATGCATTGTTGAAATTCCTGGTATTTGATCTTATTGTTAGCTGATGTAGGTCTGTCCAGATCTTCTTATGCTTTATGTTTTTAAAAAGCTGCCAGATTTAAGCACCAAGAACATAATACAGAGATTTGTGACACTTTACTGACATTGAAGACATGTGATCAGTAAATCAACCTGTATCATCACTTTTGCCAGGTTTGTTTTCTGCCAAGACATTTAAACACATTTATGAATATATCTGAATAAAAGGCAAATTAATTTACACAGTTCAGTCTCATGTCATTGTTATGTTATGGTGTCATAGACACGTAGTGCCAGATAGATGAAATACAGACAATATAATTTAGATATTAATCTGTTACACATATCCTGTAATTAACAAAAAGAGACACATGTTGATATGATAACTAAAGGTATTCAATACAAAATTAATGTAATTAAAGTTTATTTCTCAACAACAGGACACTGAACATCATTTATTCATGAAATGCATTCCAACATTTTTGACCCACAAAAATAGTCAAACTAAATCAGCCCATGTTTTGATGGGCTAAGCAGTAATAAATGGTGAAGTAGAATGCACACTG